TGAGCGCTCAAAGCGTGACATCCGAAAACGGCTTGTGATGGAGAAAAACGAGCTGATCATGGTGCAAAACGAGCTGATCATGGTGCAAAATGGAGCAAGACTCGGAGAACACAATGAGTAATTTCAAGTTTCAAAATTTCCACTGGGGGGCAAGAAGAGATTCTTTGGAGCTCTGTAGGTCATTCCTAGTAATGGAGCAAAACTCGCTAATAATGGAGCAAAATGGAGCAAAACTCGGAGAACAAAATGAACATGTTCAAATTTAAAAAAATTCACCGGTGGGGGGAGCTAGGCGAGATTTTTGGAGCTCTGTAGGTCTCTCCTGGTAATGGAGTACAACTCGCCGATAATGGAGCAAAACGGAGCAAAACTCGGAGAGCAAAATGGACATGATCAAATTTCTGAATTATCACTGGGGGGGCTAGCGTTAATCCAGCCCCTCCCCCCCCCACCTTAAGCCACATATACTTTGATTTTTTTTTTAAGATAAAAGTCAAAATGACATTATGTTGGCAATACAATGTTAAATTGTCAATGCTTTCAAATTTTTTATGTAGAAAAGGCTTGTGTTGCCAACATAGTTACTAAATTTTTGACTTTGAAAAAAAAAACAGATTTTAGTGTCTCCACTGTAATGGAACAAAAATCGAAATTAGTGGAGCAAAATAGCAAAATGAGAGCAAAATTATGGGATAATTTTCATCCAGAAATTTCCTATGGGGGGGGGGCTAACTTAACTGACCCGTTTACCCCTCTTTCCCCTGATTTTTTCTGATTACCGGTAACATTGCCCAAGAGTTCCCTTGATAACGTCACCTCAAATTATAAAGATTTTTGAGAACTGCGCATGCCTTTGACCTAGAGATTAACTGATTTCCTTAAGACTCCCCATGATTTCTATAAGATTTTCCCCCAAAATCCTTTGATTTTCCCTTGATCTCCCCATGATTTCCCTATGATTTCCTTTGATTGCCTTAGATTTCCTTTGATTGCCTTAGATTTCCTTGGATTTTTTCTTGATTTCTCCTCATTTGTACACCAGAGTTTCCTTATAGTTTACTCCTCGGAAATATCATTTGTGAATTTATACCAGATAGGTACTGAAGAACTTGAGATCGATTTAACAATCTGAAAAACAATAAATAAAGCTTAAATGCTGAAATAAGAAGAGAAAGCGAAAATAGCGCTAAAATAGTAGCCACGTCGTGCTGATCAAAAACTACTGTCCCATTTCGTTATCCCATGTATGGGAGATATCCAAGAAAATTGACATAAAACGTATAAAAGTTCCCACAAAGCCTCTGGGTTCAGCCATGTTTTTGCTACTTCTGACCATTTGGCAAGCTTAAAGAACTAAATGATTCTAGCAGAGAAGAGAAACAGAATTTTCAACCAATCTGTATTACCCAAAATGGTTGTCAGATATGGACATCAAACTCTCAACAAAAAGAAAATCACTTGGATCAAAGCTAAAACGATGAAGTATCAGCACTCCTTTAAATGGAGTTTCGTGGCAAACATTGGAAAACTAAAAGACAACTGATGGAGCTAATTCAATGAAGACCATATATATTCGGAGCACAAATGAGAATTGGGAGATGGATGATAACAAGCTTAAGAATAAGAAGAGAATAAAGAAGAAATTGTTTTATTATTGTATGCTTTGAAGCAGGAATATTTGAGAAGCGAGAAAATTGAAAAATTGAAAAAATTACTCGTCTTAGCGGGATTGTATCTCTAAAACTATAATAGGCCAGCAGGCAAGTAATAAATAAAGGGGGGAGCTGGAAAGTATTCCGAAGGTATTCATATTTTGGCATGTTGTTTGTGGAGTAGAATCTAAGTTTTCGTCCTCGAGGACCCTGTGCTAACTTGGGGGGAAGTCGAAAAACTTAGACATTTTCGAACCTTTTCAATTTTTTGCTCATAACTTCTAAACCATGCGTTTTTAGCGGAATGCACCTATTTATAAAGTTGAAGAAAATTAAATTTCATTCAAATTTAACTGGTCAAAAGCAATACTAACCGAGATACAGAGGTTCAAAGATACAAAAAAAAAGCTCAACTTGTCAAAAATTTCTTCTCATCCGAACATAATTCAAATCAAGCATGGGATAAACATCTTTTTTATCCTGATTTTGATTTTGACGTCATCCGTGCTGACCATCCACCTTTCTTGGATACAAAAGAGCTATTCTCAATAGGCACTACAGGAGCTGTTGCTCCTGAAGTTGTGAACTGCCACTTAGCTCGAACTATTTGTTATCACCTGTTTGGAAAAAGGGAATTTTCAAGACATGAAATTGAAGCGGAAAGCTAAGGTTGTTTCTCTAGCATCTGTTTCCTATTGTGTGAAAATTAAAGACAAGAAGTTCACAATAGACCCTCTCACTCTCTTTCAATAGATTCGCATAATAAACCAATCAGATAATGACCCTATAAACTTGTTCTCACTCCTATACAAGAACCAGTAGACTTCGGCAGTTATTGATGGTGGGTACCTGCTATACATAAGGTTGTGTAGAGCAAATCAAGAGGTACGACATTTGAATAGGTGTGCCAGAATTACGTGGATTATGTTTAAAGACACTTCGGGAGCAATGCTATAGTGGTTTTTGATAGGTATCCTGTTGGCATAAGTTACCAAAGCAGTAGAACGATATCGACGATCTTTACTGTACTAATAGTCAAAGTTTGTGTTTTCTAAAGTTATAGGGCAAAAGCCTGCATTTCTATGCTATTTTTGATAATCTGAAAAAATACTTGAATTTTTGAACCACTGTATCTCAGTAACTATTGGATCGAATACTTTTGGCTAGTGAAATTTAAAGGAAATTTGAAGTTCTTCAGCTTTGTTGAGAAGTTATAAGCAAAAAACTGGAAAAGTCGGATGATTTCGAGGTTTTAGTTGCAATTAAGGCGGAAAATAATTCAGGGCACAGTAGACATATATCGGCTGTGAGTGCACGTAAAAGAGATGTGGATAAAATATGTTTATCCCATGCTTGGTTTGAATTATGGTCGGCTGGAAGAAATTTTTGATAAGTTGAGAATTTTTCTGTATCTTTGAACTACTGTATACGGTATAGATACGTTTGACTAGTGACATTTGAAGGAAATTTAATGTTCTTCAACTTTATAACTAGGTGTTTTCCGCTAAGACACATGGTTTAGAAGCACAGGGTTCTCGAGGTCGAAAACTCAGATTTTACTCCACAAATTCCCCGCAAATGACATACCAAAATATCATGAACTTCGGAAAACTTTTTAGCAGGAAGTACTTGCCTGCTCGACTATAACTGCTAAACTGAATTTATAGCAGAGTTTGTAGCTCTCCACTAGAATAAGATTCTTTGGAAATTTAAGCTTGCTATCCAGATATCGTTTGTCAAAATTTCTGGAAATCCAAATCCAAACTAACAGAAACTCCATACTATGAGTTATTGTGAGATTTGAAGCCGAAATGTTTGATAAAAGTGGATTGTATATCTCTGGAACTATAACTAAAAAAGCGGGATTATATATTTCTGGAACTACCCATAGCTCCAAATGAGCTCAACATTTACTCTATGGATTTACCAAAAGTTTCACCTTTTAATTTTATTGAGCGGCTCTATTTCTCCAAGTTTTGTAGGATGTACAATTGCTTGTTCTAGGTACATCTTCCACAAGTTTCAATTTATTCCTCTTCTATTTTTCATTGATGATTTTCCTTATATTATCGTCTTTTCTCCGTTAGAGTTATTCTGTTGTTCGACCATATTATAATTCTTGAAATTCCATCATATTTTTTACTTGTAGGTATAATTTCTTGTTCTATGAATTCTACAAGAGTTTCAAGTTTCTACTATTCTGGTGACGTTATATAGTTTAGTTAGAACTTGCATAATCTCCTGGACGATTCTAATGAATTTTCAATTTTATTTTTTTTCTGTTGAGCTAAATCTTCTCAGCAAAGTTGCAGTTTTTATTGATCTGTTACCTGCATAAGTATTGGCCTCAAGAATTCTACCGATATTCCTCTATTTCCATTGTCAGGAATTTCAGGTGGAACTCTGAGCATTTTCTCATTGGAGTAGGTATACTTTCCGATGCAGTTCAACATTTCAATTCCTAAACTTTATGGTTGGTTTATGCACAACATTTGCATAGTCAATCATAGGTAATCATAGCCTAAGTCATGAGAGTCAAAATGATAATTTTCCATAGATCCGTTCATACACGAAGCACAAACATTGATTATGACTATGATTATGACTTGTATAAATGCATTCTAAAATTGTGATTATGATGAAGACAAGTGTGAGTATAATTAGATATGGTTATGATTATGCAAAATTTTGTATAAATTCCTGGTTTCAATCTCCTACTCATCCATTTTTTGTTGAGCTTTTATTACCGTGAAGTTGGCTTCTGTGTTTTATTCCAGTGTTTTCTTTAATTCAATTTCTGCCCCGATATTATTAAGGTAGAGGTAGGTACTTACATAAATTCGCAGAAAAATTATTCTGGAATGAAGATTTTACTTCGTCCGACGGAAAAGTAGGTACCTACGTACGCTCTATGCCTCATGGTAAATCCGTAAAAAAGGAATATGTACAAAATATAGAATATGTGTATGATATTTCAACAAATTATGAAAAAGAAAGGCTTAACAGCTGTTTTAATAATAATCGAAAGATAAGCCTCATAGAGGTTATATAAAATATTTCTTATTTGTTATAAAAGGACATTGAGGATATAGCGTTGGTGGTGTTTTAATTGAGGTTAATTTTGCCTGGGTTTAAATAACCGAATTGGGTTGCAGCTTTTTGCAAATTTTTAACATTGCAGCTCACTCACCTGCAATGTCAAAGGTAGATTTCGGCCCTCGGTGACTTGAATTCACTTGAAACATATAATTTTGTCTTTTTTGGCGCAGCGACCCATTTTGAGTTATTGGGTATCATATACTTAAGAGTTATTTCTATAGGGACTTATTACAATAATTAGAGACTTACCTTATTTAGGGAAAAAAAATTCAAATCACCACAAAAGTCACTGTAAGTTCTCTCTCACTAATATCGCAAACACTATTGTTGGATTTTCGAAAAAATTGATAAACCTATGTCCTCGGGGTGACGTACCGCGTGCGCTTTTCTTAAAACCTTACAAATCACTAACTGGGCATCAGGCGGTCTAACACGAAATCCTATAAAAGTATTAAAAAGTCTTAAACGCTTAGGTATCGGGTTAGGATTTGATACTGCAAAGTCCCTCTAATCTAGGCCACTTCCCAACGCGATTTAAACATAAGTCGCTTCACTCTATATATCATAGCTAACGGTTGGAAACCTTTTGCTGAGTGCTCAACTATCTCCATTTCATTCTATTATACGCTTTGTTACATACGTTGTCCCTTATCTGAAAAACGGGACAGTGCCAAGATACATGGACACGCCCAGCCCTGGTGATTTTCAATGGGCATGCGTGCAAATGTCATGTTTTCTGTGTTTCATCCTTGTTGGGCTTTTACGTAAAACAATCTATTATCTTTGTTGGCTTATTGATAGGGAGGAGCTGGCAAGGCGTTAAGTCAAGGGAATCTGTAAACTGGGACCCCTCGTATTGTATTGATACAGGATTAATGTTTAGTTTGTTTATTTTCTTTTTTTTTAAGATAGTTTCTTAATTTTTGATAGTTTTGATGCATTGTTTCTGAGGAAGGTGATAAGTGAATAAACGACGATACGACATGTGAATTAGGTACCTAGGCATCGTTAATAATTATATTAGTGACAAAAATGAATAATTAATTAAGCGATATTAATGGTTATTTGATTAGGTGGGACGCTTTATCAGTTCGTTATAATTTATGGCGTGGATTACCTATAATGATTATTGATAGAAAATCAATTCTATTTTAACATTAACAAATAGATATTCACCTGAAAAGTGTGAAAATTTATACTTTTCACATGACAGCTAGCCTACTAGGTTTATGGTGGCGAACTGGACTGGAATTAAAGAAGACAAAGACATCATCAGCTGCTGGACTATGTAACGAATAGAGGTATTTTCTCTATCTCTATTGACGTTCCTTCTTCATTGATTTCGAAAAGAGAGAAGAAGACAGCAATTGCCATGGCGATAGAGATAACGATCTCTATCCGTTACATAGTCCCAGTGCAGGATACCTGAAAATCCAATAAGCCAAAGCAGTACTCAAGATGGCTTCATCTCCTCCACAAAGAACCATGTAACAGTGTTTTTTAGAAAAAAGGTTTTTTAGACATTCCGCTAGAAACAATTAAGGAACCTCTTCCAAGTTAGTGATAAACGTTATTTTAGATATGATAGGGCGACCTTAGACATTTTAAAAACATCCATTTAAACTCTGTTGGAGTAGACGTTCAGAAAGACATTTCCAAAGACGTTTTGAAAACATCCATTTCCGACGTCTGACGTTTGAAGTTGTGACATTTGCATTGGATGAGTTTCTAACTGGACGTTTTTCAAAACATTCTGTGCGCCATTAGGGATAAGTACCTACCTACGGAATGTTCAAGATTCTTGATTGAATTGATGTTGATCAGAACTATGAGAAGTCGGTCAATGTCAGTTGGATAATTTCTCAAGTAATAGGTATTTCCACTATAATAATCATTCCATCACTTGTGATAGAATGAATAAATACCTACCTATGACGCCATCTAGAAATCACAATTCAAAACAAAGTGCATAAGGCATTATACCGTCATAAACCAGAATCAAACGAAACGAAACAATTCATCGAAGACGAAATGACAAAAATCAATTTAAAACGGAACAGCCAAGAAAAAAAAAACGACCCTCGTCAGCATCAAAAATCACCACCGAATAAGAAAACAGGCTGAAGCATCAAAATAAAATATATTATGAACAAGTCCAAGTGCAGCCCAGGAGTTATCCTGTACAGGCCTGTCAATCAAAGCCAATATCACTGACTCGTGGCTCCGCCTAGGGGATTTCGCCAGTCCAATCGCAATAGAGTAGGGATAGACGTCCAATATGGCGCCGCACGACGCTCGCCGACGCCGCTCGAAGCCGGAAGCTCAGCATTCATCGACCGACGCTAGAAAGTTGGTCGTGGAGAACAATGGGTATCTTTTTTATTTCGGTGATTTTTGTTTGGGAATTTTTAATTAGGCAGCAACTTTCAGTGTGAATTTATCGTTGTGTGTTGAGTGAATGAAGTGTATATAAGCTTTTGGATAATGGGATTTTGTAATTAAAGGAATCATTTTGGTAGTTTGTATGCACCGGTCTTTTTTAAAGTTGATTTTCCAGGCTCATACTAAGTAGTATTATTGATTTGTTTGAATTCTCGCCTGTAGGCAATTCATAATTTACTGCCTATACTGGTTATATTTCTGGCCGTCGGAATATTGTGCGAAAAAGCATCACATGTGTAGGTGTAAGGTACAAACTTTCACTTGCCTTCAATTCCCAAATTTGGACTGCGATGTCCTTTGACATCACCACCTACATCAGGTTGTTACTACCTGGAATACCTTTTCACCATACAATAATCATTAGTCTATAATAACGTTCTACGTCTTCTGATTCCCGATCTCTATCAACCATGTCTGTCAATCCAAGTATCGTCATTCCAATCCTCCGTTTTTTCTTTCCCGGTCTCTCCAGCTTCTTCTAGGTCTGCCGCGTCTTTTCTTTCCTTGTCTTCTTCTAGCTTCTTCAAGATCTGCCGCGTCTTTGTCTATCCCCTGGATTTCACTGTGTTTATCGTATGCATTTATTCATTCCGTACCTACATCTATATAGCACCTAGCAGAACTCCATTGGTTGGATTTGAAATTTAAACCAATTAAAGTTCGAGTGCCATACGCGCGTACGGAATGTAAATCAGTGCTGTATATGCAATGTCATTCCTAGTTATTACAGCAGAAAATTTTGTTAAGCTGAAAACGAGTTAAGCGTCAATTTTTCTTCAACTACCTATATCTATTTTAAACTGCAGTAAATACTGTATCTCAAATTAAGTTCTAGTATGGCGTATTGATTTTCCAATTTCTCTACGGAATTGCGAATGTAATAAATATGTAGGTATTATTAACACTTTTTATTACTTACATGCTGTGTATTAATCTAAGTTTCGGTGAGCAAAGAGAATATACATACATATACAGTATCAGAGCGAAAGCGAAAAGCGTCAATTCAATTCATACGACTGAATAATCTAATCAAAGACACAAATTCCACTCATCGTCTAGCGTCATTTTCAGTCATTAGGTTTGCTCTATATTTTCCAGGACTCTGTTCAAAATATTTATAATTCAAAGGTAGCAACGTAGTCGCAGCATGCATGGCGATTTCAAAAACCCACATAAACACAAGACAAGAGATCTGATTAAAATAATGTTAACGAAGTAATAACTAACAATTTCTTGTTGAAAATATTTCTAAGAAAATCGAAAGAAAGAAAGGACGTAACACCAGACTCCATAGAAGTACACCTACAGTGGCGTACCCAGAAAAAACATTTGGGAGGGGCAACAAATGCCCGCCGACGGAGGGAAAAATTTTAGGGGTGCTCAATTTTTGCCAAGAAGTCATTAAAATCGGTAAAAGAACAAGGATTCGTCAACACCTACCTATGTAAGCCCGACAATCATAATAATCACAAAAATAAAACAGTATATTTGGCCGCGAGAGACGTGATTTTACGAGCGCATAACGCATAACTATATTACAATCCGTAATATAAGGCACTGATTTACATTCCGTACGCGCGTATGGCACTCGGAGTTTGATTGGTTTAAATTTTAAATCTGACCAATGGGATTGTGCTAGGTGCCATATACATGTACGGAATGAATAAATGCTTACCGCATCTGTCCAATCGTCTGTCTTTGATATCGCCTCTATTCTCTGGATTGTTAATATCCTTTCCATTTTTGAACTGCCTGCCGCTTTCCTCTGGCTACTTACTCTTTTTTGTCATCTGGGCATGATATTGGATAAATACGACGCACCAGGTGTTCAAATTGCTTCCTTAATTTATTATCTCCATTTTGTTGCCAGATTCCAGATCGTTGTTATCTCCTCATAATATAGGCATTGACTTGTTATATGCCGAGAATTTTTGCAGAATTGCTGTCTCTATAGCTTATTTGATGGCTAAATGAGCCTGTTCTCGGCCATAACTTCTTTCACATTCATTGAAAGTAAAAAACTCATTTCCCTTCAGCTTTTTCACTAAGTGGAGATGCTTCAGATATACTTGCTTCAGCTAACAATGCTTTCTTAGCTTTTTTGCAATCAGAGACCATTATACCGAGATATTTTGTTAAAGGAGTTTGAATAATTATTACTTAAAACCACACATACAGGGTGTCCCAGGGAAAACAGTCCACCCCGATTTATTGGGTTTGCGGTGAGAATCTGGGAAAACGCTCGGACACGGCAATGTTTGATTTGAGGGGGAACTATTTTTCAGTTTTTGTCATCTGCGTAGCTTCAACCCCCTAGCTAGGGGAACAACAACCCCCCAAATTTGAATAGGGAATAGGGGTCGTGTCATACCTCTTTTTAAAGGTCTCATCAAGCTCTTTATGGCCCTAGAATTTCATCTTATTATTTTCATCCGTTACGAAATGACAGCTTGTCAAAATCTTGGAAATGGACTATGTATTAGTAGGAGTAAAAGCGGTACTTACCTCCCTTAATAAAAATACGAGTGAAAATACCTACAATTCACAATTCTCGTGTACACCTCATTAATAATAATAAGAAAAAACTTCATTTCAAGTATTTTTATTAGGGGACGAAGGTATCGCTTTTGCTCCCACTAAAACTAATAGTCTATTTCCAATATTTTGACAAGCTGTCATTTCGTTACGGATGGAAATAATGAGACGAAATTCTAGGGGCGTAAAGAACTCGATGAGACCTTTAAAAAGAGATATGACATGACCCCTATCCCCTATTCAAATTTGGGGGGTTGTTCTCCTCCTAGCTAGGGGGTTGAAGCTACGGGGATGAAAAAAACTGAAAAGTAGTTCCCCCTCAAATCAAAAATCGACGTGTCCGAGCGTTTTCCCAGATTCTTATCCCAAACCCAATAAATCGGGGTGGACTGTTTTCCCTGGGACACCCTGTATATGTCAATAAGTTGATTTGAGTGTCGGAACCATCCACATTTCCTGGTTCTGAGAACAAGTTTTGTTGAAACTAAACTCAGATGATTTTGAGGCTTCAACTATGAGCTTCAACGATTCAAAGAAAGATTTCAGAGTCTCTGAACATCTATATTTTCAAC